GAATGTCTAGACTTTGGAGAGATCCGAATGAAATATTATAAATACAAGAAATTGCAAGACATTTTTTCCATCATTGTTCCCAGCAGAATTTTGAATTTTGTGAAGGCCATTGGACTTTATGGTAAATTGTAAAGTGAAACAATATTGTTTAAAAATTGTATTGTTATTTATAAGAGTTGTTTTAAATCGCAAATATATTTACACTGAATTTTAGTATTTTAGCATTTTGAAATCTAATTGTCGACAAACCGTGCAGTGAACTGTTGCGAATGCTACCAACTTGTGTTTCACGCGCTCATATTATGACCTTATGCAGTTGCGAGCGCCGTAAAACCCTGTACTACTACTACTACTAAGATCTGAATCACGAAGCAAGCTAGTTTGATACGGTTTGTTGTGCAATTCATGTTCGCAAAAGCCCATTCCAATGTATAATTGTGGGTAGTTGGCGGGTGCTCTGGTGTAGTTTGCTTCTTCTTTCCTATCAAACATCTGTCATCTTTATCTCCCCTCCTTCTTTTTTGTGTTTGTTACTCTCTTGTAACAACTCTAATCTTCGGCACTTATGTGACCATATGTGTTGCAAGTGCCGTACAACTCTTACTAAAACTAAAACAAGGTAAAAGATTTGTTGGTTTAGATTTGTGATTTAGCAATGAATACCTACCTAAATCTGGGTCGTCTCTGACAGGCAGGCTCGCAGCTCGTCTCCTAAATGGTCTAAACTGTATCGGTGGGAGTATAGACACATGTGGGTGGTTGGCAGGAGCTCTGTTGAGGTTTGCTTCTTCTGTCCTATTTAATTAGACATCTACCATTTTATCACCCCTTCATTTCTTTAAATGTTGCTATCAAATGGCATTTCCAATCTCCAACACTTATATGACCTATATGTATTGCAAATACCGCAAAACTCTTACTGAAACAAAAAATTAAAAATTAAATAAATAAATAAATAAAACGCAAAGACACCTCTCCAATAAATAAAAAATCCCTCTCCGGGATACTGAGAGTGGAAAGTAGGTCACCGGACACAAGAGCTACTATTCTTTGTTCGAACATTAGTTCCGCGCTATTTACCGAAGGAAATACTTTAAATGCACAAAATTACAAGTTGTTTTTTCCGTCGTTGTTAATGACAGAATTTTAGATTTTATGAAGGCCATTGGCCTTTATGGGAAGTTATGAAATAGATTATTTGAAATTTTAAATTGTTATCTAGAAAGTTGTTTTAAATTTAAAACCTATTTACACTTGATTTTTAGCGTTTTAAAAATTGTAATTAGTAATATTGACCGGAATATGGCAGAGCAATGAGCTATTGAGAAAAATAACTTGTTTCGCGCGCTCATATGACCTTATGCAGCTGTGAGCGCCGTAAAACCCAGTACTAAACAAGACTAAAATTTACCAATCGGGACTGCAAACTTCTGCATACGAAACAAGAATGATTACTTCAATCTTATTCATACAAGAGTGGGCGCTGAGGCAAGGGACTCGTTACAGGAGAGCGACCTCATGGAATAAATATATTTCTGCAATAAACGTTCTCAAAATTGGTTTTGGTTTTGATGATTGTCCTCTGTTAAAAAACACCGTCGACTTCATAGCATTTCTATTCCAGTATTCCCAGGCAAGGTTTTTTTGTTGTTGTCTCGTTATTACACTACTACGATATTGCTGCTAGATCTAGTTAGTACTAATAGGAAGATTGAGAAAACATCTAAGACCAGAGATATCAAAAACGCAGTTCGGCTTTATTCCTGACCAGGGCACCAGAAATGTTATATTATTCACCTTAGCAATGCTTATGGAAAGTTGCATTGAAGTTCAGATATATCTGTTTTTATGTTCATAGATTATTCAAAGGCGTTCGAAAAATTAGAAATCATGAGCTATTTAAAATAATGGGAAAGCTAGACATAGATGGGAGAGATCTAAGAATAATCAAGAATTTGTACTGGGACCAAAACACTGCTGTACGAATTAATGGAGAATAACGTGAATATAAGCAGATAAGCAGATTAGAAGAGTGAGGCAGGCAAATATGTGTCATTTCACCATACCTCTTTAACAAGTACAGTGAAACAATCCTTAGAAGCATAGAAGAATGTCTAGGTCTCAAAGTGAATGGAGAAATATTAATATCAGATATGCCGATGACACAGTTTTAATAGCTGACTCCGAAAAGGACCTTCAATTGCTTGTAGATACTGTTGTAACAGAAAGTGAACATAAGGGATTATTGTTGAATGTAAAGAAAACAGAATGCATGGTAATACCCAGAAAATCAGTAAGTAAATCCTATTGTAATATCATTAGCAAAGGTGAAGAGATCAAACAAGTCCAACAATTTAAATATCAAGGATATACGAAAGCATCTGATGCCAAATGTTCTACTAAAATAAAAAGGAGAATTACTATGGCTAAGGCTATTTTCAATAAAATGATCCTAATCCTGGAAAATAGAAACATCTCAATGACTACCAAAATGAAAGTTCTGAAATGCTATTCATGGTCAACCCTTCTATATGGCTGTGAATGCTGGACTATCACTAAAGACAGCAAAAATAAAATAGAAGCAACAGAAATGTGGTTTCTTAGGAGACTGCAGAGAATAATAATTGTGGAAGAAAAATAAATTGAATGAGGTAGTGCTTGATGAAGCACATGTGGCACGCTCACAGTTAAAAACAATCAGGAAACGACACAACACAAAATTGAAGGCAAGCGAGGTAGAGGCGGGCTCAGAGCAACCCACTTAGGGAACCTAAACAAATGGGTAACAGGGAAAGATCAGGAGATCAGCAAAGGAATGAATTGAGAACCATGATCGCCGATGTCTGTCGCAGATCTGGCACTGGATGATGATGATGACACTGCTACGACTGAATACATTGCAAAGAATTACTTCTGTGTTGTGGACTTTTTGACTCTCTCATCTCTATATTCCGGGAACCTTGAATGTCACTTGTGTGATTTATATTATCTTGTCTGATTCTGCTTCCTGGCCAAATGAGACCATTGTCAGGCTCTCTCGCACTTGTTACCAACTCAGCTTACTTCAACTTCTGATGGATTGCTGTTGCGTGTTTCAAATTTTAATGGATGTACATCTTCTGAACTCTTCCTTTACCGGTGTCTATGATATGGCAGTTGGGCGCTTTTCTTTTGCACATACAAGACTCGAATTTGATTCCCTTGAGGTATGCATTTGAGAGCGCCGTAAAACTCTTACTAAAAAAAATTAAAAAGATTCCCTGGAGGGAACGATTTTTAAAAAAGAATATCTGTCCTTTTGCTAAGATGGTACCCTCTCAGCACGGGTTGGCCATAACTGAACAGGCAGATTCGAATCCTGCCTCCCAACGTATCTAACTTGTATTGTTGGAGAATACTTATCAAGACCCCCCCCCCTTTCTCTCTCGCTCATTCCATCCGCCTACCCTAACCCCCTCTTCTCTCTCGTTCTCTTTTAACTCTCTCTCTCTCTCTCTCTCTCTCTCTCTCTCTCTCTCTCTATTATACACAAACACACACGCACACACACACAAACACATGCACACGAATCATTTTGTGTGTACTGCGAGAATTCCTTTATGACATTCCGCCAACGCACTTACAGTATAATTTTATCCGAGTAAAAGGACTCCCGTTGGGGGGTATTTTTACTCTGAGATAAACTGTAAGATGGTGTGTGGTTTTTACCACTTTGAATGTTGATATTTAGCAAACTATGTCGTCCTTTCCTAAAAATAAATACATGTAACCATACAGTATACTTTTATTAAAGAAACACCTGGACAAGACACAGCTGAAAAGGTTTGTGGATTATGTCCGAGAGTGAAGCTGTATGGCCTCCAAAAGGTGGAATGGCATCGTTACATGGTATATTTATTCTTATTATCCTGGTGGAGCCAAGCAGCCGTTTAGGCTAAGTAAAGGTCTACCAGAGAGAAGCTGTGTGGGATGTGATCTCAACTTTGAACTTGAAGAAGGATCTCATATACACTCGTGGGTGCACGCTCGTACACACACACACACACACACACACACACACACACACACACACACACACACATATATATACTTACACAAACGCGTACAAACAAACATACACACGCACAAACGAAGACATACTGGTGCACTCTAGCATAACTCTATCTCGTTCCACATTCCAAGTTTCATCTCACAAGGATGGCCTTTAATTTTTTTAATTTTTTTTTAAATTTTGATCTCTTCTTTTCAATTGCCCAGCTGTCACTTTTTCATGACTAAATGAGGCCGTCATATAAGCTTGACGGTGGGCAACTACTTTGGTTACGATCGTGAAAATAGGAGACGTGAGTTCAAAACTCGTATGGGAGACTTTATGTCCATCTTTTCTGTCTCTCTGCTGGTACAGGTGGTATCGGAGCAGCTCGCCTCCTGAATGACCTAAATGGCGTCGATGAGGGAGTAAAAATTCTACAACTTCATGGTTTTTTTTACTACAATCCTCGTCTGTGAAGTAGAGGTTTAAGCTCTTCACTTTTGAACAAAGAAGATGTGAGTTTGATTCTACATGATATGGGAAGTCTTGTGTGTCGAGTGTGTCCGTCTTGTGCTGAGCTGCTGCATCCTAATGAGCTTGACTAATGAAGTGTTTCCATCTGTCAGCGGTAACGACATGTCACACTCAGCCTGGGTTGGCCCTGGTAGGCTGGGTCAAAGCAGGAAGGGCATTTCCTTGTCAAAGCAGGTGACAATTTGCGGAGTTCTGACTAGAGCTGGGCGAAGACTCGATTCCGGAACCGATTCCCACGATTAATGCTACGTATGAAAAGTTCCGACTCCTTTTTACGAAAACCAACGGTTACCAGTTACTTTAATCATTGAAATCTTCTTCTTTCTTTCTTAGATTTATTTTTGAAAAATAAAAGTTTATGCTTCCTAGTCTTCCGAAATCAAGGTTATCCTATATCCTGAAGATGTCCGGAGCCAATTAGGTAACCACCGGAAGAAATCCCATCATTAGAAAGGAAGTATTTGGGTTCGGAGTCGATTCCTACGATTCCTAGTTTTCAATAATGGGGAACCTAGCCGCCCAGCACTAGTTCTGACCCACGATGACATTGCTGGTTGCCAGTGGCCCTGTGTGGTTTTGTGTCAGAGCTGATAAAGTTGCATGGACTCATTGGGGACTCACTAAGACAATCTGATGAGTAAATACTATTATGTGGATGAATGATGATTGGACTGCCTGTACTGAACTGTTACGCGGGTGAAAAGTAGGTCAAGGACACTATAAATTCTTATGCTTAGAGCTACGAAGAGTTTGTCGACAATCTTTGAAAAATTTTAATAAAAGTGTTATTTAAGAAATGTAAATTCAAGCTTTTAAAAACAATTAGTTTACTATGCAATTTTAGATTAACCATTCCGGCTTGAAAAACAACAACAAACCAAAGATGTCTTGTGAACTAACGTGAAAACAACCAACTTGTGATCCACGTTCTCGTACGACCTTATAATGCAGTTGCAACTGTCGTAAAACTTTCACCGAAACGAAAGTGTTCACTTTTCGGTCAAAACTGTTTATTGACTGATCGGCCCATACAATAGTTAAGTGTTTTCGTACCTTCGATATTCTATGTGTATATCACGCTCTCTTTGCTCCAACAGATGACGTGAGTAAAATTTCCCACGGAGATCTTTGTATTACTATTAATATTATTATTGGTTTTTTTTGTAGTTGTTCTTCTATTCTTTTGAACATCAACTACAAACACCTGTCTGTGTTAGGGTGTGGCATGTCGTACAACTCAGGTCGGCTCAGTCTGGCAAAGCCGATGCAGCCCGCATCCTGAATAGTCAGAACATCAGAACATTTTTTGGGACATGAAAATATCAAACACACACACACACACACACACACACACACACACACACACACACACACACACACACACGCACATACACGCACATACACGCGCGCGCACACACACACACACACACACACACACACACACACATACACATAGGCACATATACACGCACACGCACACGCAGAGAAAAACACACATACACACGCACGCACACAAATACACACACACACAAACACACACACACACACACACACACACACACACACACACACAAATACACACACACACACAGATACACACACACACTCACACACACAAAAACACATACACAAACACAGATATCAAAACACACGTTGTTGAATTAATTACCGTATGTTTATTGTATTCTTTTCAATCGTTCTCAATCGTCTGAATAAATAGCACAATTTCAGAAAACTGGCAACAGTAGATCACATTTTGGCATTGCCTACAAACAAAAACATTAAATTATTAAAACCCCAATTTACAATCCAGCCTCAGACTAGATGTGTAGATGCGAGTGGGTCATTTGCTGGAGCCAGGGGGCGGGTCCAGGATGTCTCAACATACTCTCTACTCTTGAACCAAAATATCCTGGGGAGTACGTTTGAACTGATGAAGTGAATGGTGATGATACTAGTAGTCTTTGTGGTGGTGATGGTTGTGGTAGTGGGAGAGGTGGTTGTGGAGGTGGTTGTTGTGTAGTAGACTGTGGTGGTGGTGGTGGTGGTGGTAATTGTGGAAGTGGTGGCGGCGGTGGTAGTAGCGTTGGTGGTGGTGGTAGTAGTTGTAGTCGTGGTGGTAGTGGTTGTAGTCGTGGTAGTTGTTGTAGTTGTGGTGGTGATGGTGGTGATTGTGGTGGTGATGGTAATTGTGGAGGTGGTGGCGG